GTATACAAAATCTGATATGCGCTTACATTTTTCTTCGACATGTACACAGTCACCGTTAATCAGCCAATACGGCGTTGAGCGGCACAACAACCAGGTTTGCCACCAAACCAACACTCCTACTTCATTTTAAATACGTCGACACAATACTAACTTATAGGTCCACACAAGGTGCTGATGCTAGGGATGATGTACATCCATCCACCCCAACTGATGTACAAGCATCGTTCCACAAATCGCCATCCAGGATCAAGGTAATACTACAGCCAATTCACCATCTTAGACAAAACCATGCCATTATAACATGCCACCCGCAGGCCGCGTCTATATATATAGAGAAAATTACACTGGCAGACACTTTCTCATCTTTTGTTCACACACGTGGACATTTTCTGCTGGCGACACACTTTCTTCTGTTAAAAAGACTGAATCACCCCTCTTCACATTTAACCTATTCAGTAACAAAGCCGCTCTCTTTTTACATCTCTTTGTAAAAACCTTTCCCCCATTCCGACTTTTGAGTTTTCCGATCGAAATCCTAGTTATCACCACCGCCTCTCCAAAAAAGCCACTCGACCATAACCACTCTTTTGCCGATTCAAACTACACTTACATATCTGGATTGCTCTGATATCTGGATTGCTCTGATAGCAACGACGTCGAAAAAAGAACATCTAAATGGAAGGTACATCTCACCAACCGATCTCCAATTTTGTACTCTCCGCTCCGCATAAAACTCTGTTTGAAGTCGCCACTCCACCAAACCCACTAACCTGCTTCGTTTTGGATGTCCGTCAGAATTTTGAATCCAATATTGTTCTTCCGCCAGTTTTTTTTCAGATTCATATATGTTTATCCATTTTTATCGGTTTTCTCAGTTTACCTCATTTAGACCTTTATTTAACGGAAAAAATATCCAAGATCTACTATCCATTTCCTACAATTTCATTCATCCATCGTAATATATATATCCATAAGTGTATTTCCATTCCCAAGTGTCCATCCACTTATTTTATTTTTTGCCATTTATACGATGCTTTTTTGACTCTTGTCCACATGACCATATCCACGATATAGTTTACACATCACAAATAGCCCGCACATAATAGTTGTTGGGTTTTCAGTACTCTAATGCGTGTTGTGTTTTTGCCTTTTCAGGTGCCGCCAACATGGATATCCTGCATGATATCAACTTACCCTCTCGCCTGTTTGCTATGGATAGATTCCCGAACGCCCGTCTCAACATCTACTCGAAACCCGACACACTGAAAGTCATACAACATGTGCTAAAGGATTCCGACGAGTGGAACGTTATCAGGACCTCATGTTCTGCCGCCTTATTTGACATCCTCGCCGCGAGGTGTCCTATATCCGAAAAACTCCTTCACGCCTTATGTTCGAGACAGCTTATGTCGAACAAAAAATACGAGCTTTGGTTTGCATTCGGTGGTCAGCCTTTCAGGTTCTCTCTGTCAGAATTTCGGGCCATCACAGGGCTACCATGTGGAGAATTCTCCGAAGGGTACTTTCCTGATTTCACTCTAGACCCTAACTTCAAGGCAGGCAAAGCTTGGAGAGCTATAATTCAGGGAGACGAGCATACTACATGTGGTGATCTCACAGACCTGCTACTTAGGGACGAAGAGATGCCCAGGAAGCGAACACTACAGCTAGCTCTCATCCTCATTGTCGACTGCGTCCTTATAGAAAACTTACAGGTGCACAGACCTACTCCTAGGTACGTTCGGCAGGTAAAGGACATCGACGCTTTTTTTAAATTCCCTTGGGGTCGAGAGTCATTCATCCGAACCATCAACACGATGATGCCCGCGTATTCAAACCCCGCAAGACGTAATGAAGCAGTTGCTTATTTCCGTCACCAACTAAGCGGCGGCTCAATGCACCTTTGCGGGTTCCCACTCGCTGTTCAGCTTCTGGCATTCCAGCAAATTCCGGCCTTACTGGCAAAGCTAAAACACACTGCTGAGCTTCCCACACTACTCGATATATCTGGTGTCGACATCCCTACTCATGGTTCAGTCTCTTTGGCCGATGTCCACGATGCTGAGTTCTCAACAAGCGTAAGTCTATACACATTCTCGAATGTGTTGTTGTACATACCTGGATCATCCATTTCAAATTCCCACAATTATTTCTGCTTTGTCAACTCACATCTGTACATCGGTGTCCATCCACTCTTCCTCCTTGTACTTATCGACTAACGAATTACACTTTCTGTTGTGGCCTAACCAAACCCACTCTCTTCCATTTTCAGCTCATTGTATGTCCTACATTAGACACACACGATGGCCCGGACGATGAAACGCTAGAGTGGGAGGACGAGTCCGGCGATAGAAAAATCTCTTACCTCTACGCTAACTTAAAGATGATCGTCGTTTCCAGAAGACGGATTGGCCAGGAGGTGACGACTCATTCCCACTTATCACCCGCAGCCAAAGTCCCTCACATCAAACACGTCCTGAACAGGCGCAAGGGCCACAAAAACAATCTCAATGTCAAAGATATTCCATCATCATCAAAGAATACTAACGCTCGCCACACAAGAAAGAAGAGTGTCGTCCTTAATGCGACCACAACCTCTCCCAATGAACAGTCTAACGACTCCTTCGCCCACCAACTGCAACAACTTACTCAGCAACTTCACGTGCTTACGGAGAAGCACAATAATCTAGAACAGATGTTCATGACAATGACCAGGTCTTTAAAACACAATCTGCGAAATTTATCATCAATCCAACTCCGACAATCCCGGAAGAAGAAGGCATCCTCATCTCAACTCCCAACCGGAGCGGTACCCACACACACTTCTCCACCAACACCTCCAGCTATTCGTCTCAATCCTTCTTAACGGACACCCCCGGCTACCACTTCCGCTCTGCCAATTTCCCCAGAGGTTAGTATTTCTTTATTTATACTACTTTACCTGAAATTAACCGACCCCATCTCCCTTATATTTTTCCTGCAGTACACTTTGCACCGCCCTTCGCCACCGGCTAAAACAAACTTTGTAAGCTTTCAATCCAAAATTTTAACCATCGTATACAAAATCTGATATGCGCTTACATTTTTGTTCGACATGTACACAGTCACCGTTAATCAGCCAATACGGCGTTGAGCGGCACAACAACCAGGTTCGCCACCAAACCAACACTCCTACTTCATTTTAAATACGTCGACACAATACTAACTTATAGGTCCACACAGGGTGCTGATGCTAGGGATGATGTACATCCATCCACCCCAACTGATGTACAAGCATCGTTCCACAAATCGCCATCCAGGATCAAGGTAATACTACAGCCAATTCACCCTCTTAGACAAAACCATGCCATTATAACATGCCACCCGCAGGCCGCATCTATATATAGAGAAAATTACACTGGCAAATACTTTCTCATCTTTTGTTCACACAAGTGGACATTTTCTGCTGGCAACACACTTTCTTCTGCTAAAAAGACTGAATCACCCCTTTTCACATTTAACCTATTCAGTAACAAAGCCGCTCTCTTTTTACATCTCTCTGTAAAAACCTTTCCCCCATTCTGACTTTTGAGTTTTCCAATCGAAATCCTAGTTATCACCACCGCCTCTCCAAAAAAGCCACTCGACCATAACCACTCGTTCGCCGATTCTAACTACACTTACATATCTGGATTGCTCTGATATCTGGATTGCTCTGATAGCAACGACGTCAAAAAAAGAACATCTAAATGGAAGGTACATCTCACCAACCGATCTCCAATTTTGTACTCTCCGCTCCGCATAAAACTCTGTTTGAAGTCGCCACTCCACCAAACCCACTAACCTGCTTCGTTTTGGATGTCTGTCAGAATTTTGAATCCAATATTGTTCTTCCGTTAGTTTTTTTTCAGATCCATATATGTTTATCCATTTTTATCGGTTTTCTCAGTTTACCTCATTTAGACCTTCATTTAACGGAAAAAATATCCAAGATCTACTATCCATTTCCTACAATTTCATTCATCCATCGTAATATATCTATCCATAAGTGTATTTCCATTCCCAAGTGTCCATCCACTTATTTTATTTTTTGCCATTTATACGATGCTTTTAATTCCAATGTCGCATCTTTGACTCATGTCCACATGACCATATCCACGACATAGTTTCCACATCACAAATAGCCCACACATAATAGTTGTTGGGTTTTAAGTACTCTAATGCGTGTTGTGTTTTTGCCTTTTCAGGTGCCGCCGACATAGATATCCCGCATGATATCAACTTACCCTCTCGCCTGTTTGCTACGGATAGATTCCCGAACGCCCGTCTCAACATCTACTAGAAACCCGACACACTGAAAGTCATACAACATGTGCTAAAGGATTCCGACGAGTGGAACGTTATCAGGACCTGATGTTCTGCCGCCTTATTTGACATCCTCGCCGCGAGGTGTCCTATATCCGAAAAACTCCTTCACGCCTTATGTTCGAGACAGCTTCTGGCGAACAAAAAATACGAGCTTTGGTTTGCATTCGGTGGTCAGCCTTTCAGGTTCTCTCTGTCGGAATTCCGGGCCATCACAGGGCTACCATGGAAAAGAATTCCCCGAAGGGTACTTTCCTGATTTCACTCCCGACCCCAACTTCAAGGCAGGCAAAGCTTGGAGAGCTATAATTCAGGGAGACGAGCATACTACATGTGGTGATCTCACAGACCTGCTACTTAGGGATGAAGAGATGCCCAGGAAGCGAACACTACAGCTAGCACTCATCCTCATTGTCGACTGCGTCCTTATAGAAAACTTACAGGTGCACAGACCTACTCCTAGGTACGTTCGGCAGGTAAAGGACATCGACGCTTTTTTTAAATTCCCTTGGGGTCGAGAGTCATTCATCCGAACCATCAACACGATGATGCCCGCGTATTCAAACCCCGCAAGACGTAATGAAGCAGTTGCTTATTTCCGTCACCAACTAAGCGGCGGCTCAATGCACCTTTGCGGGTTCCCACTCGCTGTTCAGCTTCTGGCATTCCGGCAAATTCCGGCCTTACTGGCAAAGCTAAAACACACTGCTGAGCTTCCCACACTACTCGATATATCTGGTGTCGACATCCCTACTCATGGTTCAGTCTCTTTGGCCGATGTCCACGATGCTGAGTTCTCAACAAGCGTAAGTCTATACACATTCTCGAATGTGTTGTTGTACATACCTGGATCATCCATTTCAAATTCCCACAATTATTTCTGCTTTGTCAACTCACATCTGTACATCGGTGTCCATCCACTCTTCCTCCTTGTACTTATCGACTAACGAATTACACTTTCTGTTGTGGCCTAACGAAACCCACTCTCTTCCATTTTCAGCTCATTGTATGTCCTACATTAGACACACACAATGGCCCGGACGATGAAACGCTAGAGTGGGAGGACGAGTCCGGCGATAGAAAAATCTCTTACCTCTACGCCAACGTAAAGATTGGTCGTCGTTTCTAGAAGACGGATTGGCCAGGAGGTGATGACTCATTCCCACTTATCACCCGCAGCCAAAGGCCAGACAAAGTCCCTCACATCAAACACGTCCTGAACAGGCGCAAGGGCCACAAAAACATTCTCAATGTCAAAAATATTCCATCATCATCAAAGAATACTAACGCTCGCCGCACAAGGAAGAAGAGTGTCGTCCTTAATGCGACCACAACCTCTCCCAATGAACAGTCTAACGACTCCTTCAGCCACCAACTGCAACAACTTACTCAACAACTTCACGCGCTTACGGAGAAGCACAATAATCTAGAACAGATGTTCATGACGATGACCAGGTCTTCAAAACACAATCTGCGAAATTTATCATCAATCCGACTCCGACAATCCCGGAAGAAGAAGGCATCCTCATCTCAACTCCCAACCGGAGCGGTACCCACACACACTTTTCCACCAACACCTCCAGCTATTCGTCTCAATCCTTCTCAATGGACACCCCCGGCTACCACTTCCGCTCCGCCAATTTCCCCAGAGGTTAGTATTTCTTTATTTATACTACTTTACCTGAAATTAACCGACCCCATCTCCCTTATATTTTTCCTGCAGTACACTTTGCACCGCCCTTCGCCACCGGCTAAAACAAACTTCGTAAGCTTTCAATCCAAAATTTTAACCATCGTATACAAAATCTGATATGCGCTTATATTTTTCTTGGACATGTACACAGTCACCGTTAATCAGCCAATACGGCGTTGAGCGGCACAACAACCAGGTTCGCCACCAAACCAACACTCCTACTTCATTTTAAATACGTCAACACAATACTAACTTATAGGTTCACACAGGGTGCTGATGCTAGGGATTATGTACATCCATCCACCCCAACTGATGTACACACATCGTTCCACAAATCGCCATCCACGATCGAGGTAATTCTACAGCCTATTCACGCTCTTAGACAAAACCATGCCATTATAACATGCCACCCGCAGGCCGCATCCCACAATGTGGTTAACCATTGGCTTGCAACGGACCCACCATCTACTATTCTTCCAGCCGAGCTTTCCGACAACTACATTCAATCTGTTCTAAAAGAATTAAGTGTAAACTAGTATGAGGTATGTGCCCCTACTGCGCAACTGGCTACTTATTGCATTACACTAACATACTCACGCGGCTACTACTCTTTCCATTCCTCAGGCTCACGCGGCGCCACCCACCGGGGAAACAGCATTACACCCAAAAACCGACACCACTACAGCTGCAAAGTCTAGTAATGGACAGCCACTCGGTTGACGGGTGAACGACACTGGGCTCATAGAGGGACCGGATAAAGAGCAGGTGGACAACAATGTCGGGGACATGGCAGTCGTGGACAAGGCAGTCGTGGACATGACAGCCGTGGAAGGAAACTCAGTAGAAAATACTACGGTTGTCCCCATTTTAGATGGACACATTTGTAGTGGACATACCCTTATGGACAAACATTTGAGAGTCTTTAAACTAATTACGCAACTACTTTTATCAGATCCTCGGCAGCAACGACGTCGACTGCAGTGTAGTGGACAGCCAAGCACAGTGCGAGGAGCGTGGAACCACATCAAAGGTAATCACAGTTAAAATGGACACATACATCGCTGCCAAGCATTTATCGACATCCAATAGACAGCCTTTTTCAATTTTTTTGCTCGGATTGAATCAGGTACTTTACAGCAAAGTCATGGACCGCAACATCGTCGACAAGGGTGTACAGTCGGACCACCATGGGTGAACATCAAATGTATTCAAAGCTACAATGGACATACCATATTTATACGCACTTGTGGACAGTTATCTTCTCCTTTTTCATCAGTAACCCTCCTTTTTGTGGACTCAACATCAGAAACAGGTGGTGGACAACGAAGATGACGACCACATGCTAATGGACTAGGACTCACAGCTAGAACACACATCACACACATCACAGGTTTGCCTGCTACCCTATATACATACGATAATGTGTTCCCACCAACTTCACTAAATCTGGAGTATATAAACTTATAGCTGCTGGACAGTAACGTCGCCGACCACATGTTGGTGGACAAGGATGCAGTCGCCGTCAAATCGGCCAAGAAGGTTCCCCTACACAGCATCTCCGCTGACACTTTAAAAGCTAACAATGACTCTGTAAACATGAAGACCACTGTCGAGGGCAACTCTCCGATTCCAGTTAATGCAACTTCACTAACCGACTTTATTCTTTATATCCATCTCCACCATATCCATCATTGACATCAACCATCGATTTTCCGCAGGTACTTACGGAACAAACACCATCACCGCCCAAAACGAAACTGTACTATCGTCGCAACGCCCGTCGCATTGTCCTCGAGGAAGAGACACAAGAGCTCAGTAATGGTTCTCCGCCACCCACAAGACAGTCCCACTTTCCATCTCAGATGGAGACCCTCCTAGCCTACGCAATGCGTAAAAAAACTTCACCCTCCCGCCAGGTAGTCCGTGAAATAGACAGCGACTTATGGAATCTATTTCATCAAACACTTTCTGCATCGCCAACTATGTAAGTACGGTTTTCCTATCAATACGCTACTTCTTCTCGGCTCCGCTTACACACCCTTCTCCAATAACAGCACGCACTACACCAAAGATTGTGGGGCCTTCGACAACAACTTCCTTCTCGAGCTCGCAGCATCAAAAAGCTGGACATCTACAAGGGTAAGTAACTCTAACCATAATAATGTCTACTCTTTCCAAATGGGCCATAACATTATCCCATCAACAGCACATGGAGGTTCTCATGGCATGGCTTCGGACCAAACAAACATCCATGGAAGAAGAAGAAATCATATCTTTCTGCGACCCCAGTCTCATCGGTTATTTTCTCGCCAAGCAACGTAAGTTTTCAGCTGCAAAGGCCCCCAAACGTCTACGATGGGATGAGCTTAGGCCCATCGCAGAGGCCCCTGGCTCGAGATGGGTGAAGGACATGCAAACGTTGTACGTTCCCATGTGCTAGGAGAAGAAATATTGGGTGGGTCTGGCTATTAACATAAGCATTGGTAGCATAGAAATCCTAGACCCTCTCCCATCGCTGAAAGACAAACGCAAGATTGCTACTTGGATGCGCCCCATTTGCGAGATGCTACCATACGCTGTAAACAGTTTATGCACACAAGCTTCACAAGGTATTGGTCTTACCCCCTACGTTTGGCATGTGGTTCAGGATATCTACGTCAACGCACGCACAGGTGACTGTGGTCTAGTGGCCATAAAATTCATGGAGATGCACGCCGCAGGAGACCCGGAACCACACATGTTTGGGCTCACTGACGCAATGGTGGACGACTTCCGCAAGCAATATGCAATGGACCTATACCGCGACCTTGTAATCCCACTCTACTTCAATCCAACCGTTTAACATCGCTCTCCACACCCTTTTTTGATAATCGTGGATGGCCTTTAAATCCCTTTTTGATACATGGCCCATCTCGGCACCAAACTTGAACAGCCGCGGTTTGTCGCTTAAAATGGCATTATGTAATGCATTCTCTCTTCTAACTCTCTATCTCTATCAACCCTTCAAGACATTATAAATTATATTGCCTCTACCTCTAACGAACGGCCTGACATGGACATTCAATGGTGGATATAATTAGGGTTTCAATACATCCACAACCACTACACCCCAACATATGTCTAAAAACATCTAAAGGCTACTGTACAATAACTGGTGGACACGCATTAGCTCGTTGCTACACCTCTGGCTATATAATCATGACACACACCACTCCGCTGTTTGTCAAAATACTCACTAACTTTCAACTCAAAGTCCTTAACTATCAATCTCGATGTCGATGTCCAACAGTTCTCGCACATCACCCGCCGTATCTGGCTCATCCCGCGCACAACATCTACAACAATCTAACGCCCCTCTCTGCCACTGTAACAACAGTACTGTCGTCTCTAAAGTATGGACCGACACCAACCCTGGCCGTCGATACTATAAATGCAACTCTCACGGATTTCTAGCCTGGTACGACACCGAAAAACCGGCAGGGTGGCAGAAAGAAAGCTTGCTCGAAGCGAGAAACCAGATCCGCCGCCAGGGGCAACAAATCAACGACCTACAAGTCGAAATCCTTAAACTCAACAAGCAATTAATCAATCAAGCCATCGACTCAAATCCTGGACCAAATCAAGACTCCCTCTGGAACGACAAACTAGCTACGCTACAAACACAACAACAACTCCAGATTTCTGCATACAAGGAAAGAGAGGATCTACTTCGTCACTTCATACTACTTTTAATATGTGTAATTGGGGGTTTGCTTGTTTTGTTGTTTTTCGTCCCCTGAATTTAGTAGTCTACTTATTAAACATCCTTTCTAATTCGTATATCGCTTTCACGGTGATCATGTTTTCAATCCAAAATCTGACAATGTTGTTATCAATCGACTACGCAACACCACCTCTGTTGGATATAAATCCACACCATCCACCGTACTGAATACATACGTAAACAACGCATGGGCAAAGACAAATGGATACACATATCTGGATAACGCCTAACAACTTACACCAACAAATTCCATGAACCTCGCAACAATACTGACGCCCTAACGGATTTTTGTTACTCCTCGACTTAACTTACTTGGTCACGCGCCCACAATAGCTATATCGTTCCTCCAAACATGATTCCAAAAACGAAACTGTCAAAAACATGTGTTTCGGTTTGTCCACACGGCTACATACATCGTTCTAATCCATCATTTATCACGTATGTACACGCGTCATTATCCATCTCCATACAGTTACGATTACAAAGTAAATAAGTCACATAGCATGCGTTTACTAAGGCTCGATTATTCATATACACAACTCATGTGGGTCTTGTAAATCGACTGTTACCCCTTTGTTAAAAGGGGGTGTATACACATCCTGTCAACGTCGAACACACTTTCCCATATAAAGTAGACAACATAATCATGTATATCACTCTCACACTTACAAACTTCTTTACCCGACCTCGAAACCATCCCCAGAATCCACGACGAGGGCTCTGATTCCGTCGCGTCCACAATAGCTATATGGTCCCTCCAAACATGATTCCAAAAAACAGAAGACAAAAAAATGTGTACGGGTTTGTCCACACGGCTACGTACATTGTTCATATCCATCATTTAACACGTCTGTCCACGAGTCATGATCCATCCATATACAGTTACGATTTCAAATAAAATAAATCACAAAGAAGGCGTTTACTAAGGCTCGATTATCTATACACACAACCCACGTGGGTCTTGTAAATTGAACGTTACCCCTACGTTAAAAGGGGGTGTCTACATATCCTGTCAACGTCGGCCACACTTTCCCCTATAAAGTAGACACCCTAATCATGTATGTCACTCTCACACTTACAAACTTCTTTACCAGATCTCAAAACCATGCCCAGAAGCCACGACGAGGGCTCTGATTCGGTCGAAACATCATACGACATCGAAGATATCGAGGGCCCAATCTGCTTCTGCAACCGCTTAACCGTCCAAACAAAATGTTGGACCGATGACAACCCAGGAAGACAGTTTTACAGATGCCCCAAACACGATTTCTATTGCTGGGCTGACACTGAAACATAGAGTTCGTGGTAAAAACAGAGCCTCATAGAGGCAAGGACTAAAATACGCCGCCAGTTCCAAGAAATCACTTCTCTTCGCAGCTCCATATGCGACCGCTACCACCAAGACATCATGCGATGCCACGCCCGGCACTTACCCCCTCCACCGCCACCCCAACAATGAACTACGGAAGCGACGGGGATTCAGTTATGTCAACTAGTTCCCAACACCACCAACATCAACCAATCACAGCGCAAGCTCAACCCATGCAGCAAAACCAAAGGAACCTCCGATCACTCACACTACTCCCCTTATTTGGTTTAACAGTTTTAACTTTACTTTTTTTTAATCCTGCCACAAGCCGAAGAGAATAACCGTGCACCCAAAACTCGCCATTCGAAGACTAGTTTACTTCATTAATATCTCCCAAATGTATGCCCTTTTATGCTGTTTTATGTTATTTTTTCTACCAAATGCAAGCCAAGTTTAACTATCCAAATACGTCCACTGACAAATATGTCCACCGACAAATATGACCTTCAGCAAATAACTCATACATCAACTCATTTGCATTATCACTGCCACTGGACACTCATCAAATGTCCATCAGTTATGTGTACATCGCAACCAAAAACCACACAGTCACCTACACCAACTAAATCACACTGGTCTATGTTCTCCACCGCAAATCAAAAACATATCCCTACTCGAAGACACTTCATTACAAACAAAACTAACCATCAAACCTACCCTCTGTATGCAACGACTACCGTATAATTAAACTTTTCACCAATTATTCAAAACACTAACACCACATAGGTAAACAAAAATCTACTCTCTCTCTCGACTACGCAACTCGTTCTTAATCTTCACTAAACAAAAACTTATCCATACGGATGTTTGTCATGAATATAATGTCCACCACTATTATGTCCACTTCGATCATTTTCAAAACACCCGCAAAGATATGTAGCCAACCAACACCACAGTTACATCAAACTGGTGTATTCTCTCCACCGCAAATTAATCACATGTCCCATCTCCGGGACACTTCATCAAACACTCACCGACGTTCTGTGTGCAACACACATTTACAATGCCCAGTGGGGCAAATGCCTAAATATATTATCAAACATTGTACACACGTCTACGTCCACCAAACATATCCATCTAACACATCCATCCATTTCGAAGGGTTGGGGTTTAATTACCCTTTCCACAATTTTCCAAAACACCAACACGATCACGTACACCACAGACGTACATAGAATACAACTCATTAAAAGACGAACACAACAGAATCGTAGACGCCACACAATTGGCAACAAAAACAAACAATGACAATCTTCCCCAGGTAAATGTCATAACCAACCAACTAGGCAAATACCAAAAAAAATACAACACTTCATATAAATGTCTGTCTACCTGACCTTCTAACCATTCGCTAATCCCACATTACATAAACAAAATATTTCAAAGTCAATCACTCATATCGGATTCGTGCAGCTAGTACGATTATGCCCAGGTTGCGTGCATCTTGAACACTTGTTAGGTTCCGTCTTCTTAGACCTCGTCCCCTACAAGCAAATCAAAAGTCTTTTATTTCAAAAAGCAAATAACTAAATGTTCTCGCGTGAAATAAATATCAACAAACTAACCGGTATCTCTCCAACTGACGCAATCCTACCCTCCTTACGCCTCCCAGACGGCCTACGCGTCCGCGGTGGTAGCAATACTAATTCAGTAACGGCGGGAGGAACCTCCGCGTCTGCATAGTTACCAAATGGGTTTATCACACCAGAATACGTCTCCTGCCAAACCGCCGTTTTATGGACAGCTCCGACTAGTGAACTAGGTGGCAAGCCTAGCTTATCACCAACCAGCAACGCATGCCCACAAGGGATCAATAGGCGATCAAACTTCTTGCAAGAACACCTCTTCTCCGACACACTAACATGGTTCTTTTCACCAAACTTCCCAACCACCTGGCAAGACCAGTCCGTTATCTCGTTTAACTTACTCCCAACAACGTCTTTCGAATGCTGAGTTATAACTTTCTCTATCTCAGGCGGCAAAGCCCCACCACACCGCAATGATTTCTTCCGCATTGCCGAAAACCATTTCGTCATCATCTCCTGAATGAACCTCAGCAGCTCGACAATGGGAGACCCTCGACCCTTCTTCAGCGCTTTATTCAACTGCTCACAAACATTGCTAGTCATAAGGTTGTAACGCTCACCCTTGCAATACACGCGTGTCCAATGAGCCATTCCTATAGCCTCCAAATACCTAGAGCACTCGCTTTTGCTAGACTTGATCTTCTCATATACCTCCTTAAATGTCCCAACACACCACGCAAATGCAGCCATCAACACCAATTTCGACAAACCCTTGTTAGAAAAACGAGAGTTTACATCCTCGCTAAATGGACAATGCAGCATCCATGGTGCGCTCGTGGATATGCAACCTTCAACCCTTTGTAAATGGATGGGTGACGATCCGAAATTATTGTCAGACACGGACTGTCCGCGAGGATCCTCTCCAGCTTCTTCAGAAACCACAACCACGAATTGTCGTTCTCGCCATCCACCACAGCATAAGCTAAAGGGAAAACTTGGAAATTTGCATCTTGTCCGCAAGCTGTAATGAGGACACCTTTGTACTTACCCCACAAGTGTATTTCATCCAACACCACAACAGGACGAAGCTTACTAAATCCCTAGATAGAGGCGCCAAACGCTACAAAGACATACAGAAAACGATTCAGCCCGTCCTCGTCCACTGCAACCTCTAAATCCGCAACCGTTCCAGGATTAGCAAGTTTCAACAAATGCAAATGCATTGAGAGCTTTATGTATGAGTCCTCAGCAGATTCCCTCAAAGATGCCTCCACCATTCCTATCGCCCTATAGCACTTCATGTAAGACGAATCAAGCCGTAGGTTCTCCAACACCAGCTCCTGCAGCTGCGCCGAACGAGAACCATACTCCACATTACTATATCTGGATTTAAAAATAGTTGCAATCACAAGAGAAGTAACTTTCTTCTTGTACGCATTTCTCGTGTCGATATCACACGTATGGTCAAGACTAGCTTTCTTGATAACATAATAACCGAAATCACCAATTTCCTGCGCTTTCACCCTCCAGTCACACCGTTTATCCGTACAGTTAAGTATAAAGTAGTGCCTCTTCGTACGTGTTTGTTTGAAGGTGAATGTTCCTTTTATAGCAAATATCGCTAGGGCGATACGGCACTCAAGCTTGCTGGAAAACATCCTTCCCTCGTAAATCCCCTCCTCTGCACAGTCAATGTCAAGATCAGGGATATCCTCGTTATCGTATTTTGTGTCATCAAATAGCGGTGGAATGTCAAATTCCTCGTCATCGATGCCCTCGAGGACACGCACATCCACGGCCGAATGTGTGTCCACAGTAGGCACACTACCACTAACATGTCCACCAACACCCCGTCCATATGCATTCACATTTCCAACTCCTCGATAGGTGTCCACAGACTTCTGTACACTGCTCTTTGCCGCTGCTACGCTATCCACCGTTGCATCGTCCAATACATTCACGACAGCTTCTCTTTGTCCAGAGACCCCTCGGAGGATATCGCACCTAACCCCAAACTCAACAGCCTTAGGATCGAAACCTTCTCTACTAGGACACATAACATCTGTTGCATCAGAGCCACCAAGTACGCCGTCTATTAGGGGCTCCCAAAACTCTGTGTCGTACTCTACAGCCCTTATTTCCATACCATCGCCTAGTTCTGCACAACATACATCTGAGTCAGACTCTTCTGCCGGTGATTCGGCCTTCGTACGGCCACTGCTACGGTGCAAATTGCCTTCAGCTTCATCTACTACAGTTAGTAGCTCGTCGTCATCGAAATCAAAGTTGCATATCTTAATCGCACTCGAACTAGCGCTTGCTCCTCGGGAATCGCGGTCAAAGTTCCGACGCCTCTTCAAAGACAGAGTCGGGGTGGTGTAAGCGTAATCTACAGTCGAGATGCTACCCTTCGCAGAAACAGATTTAAAAACGCAGAGCCTTCACCACTATCACCAAGACGCATGCTACCGGACGACAGCGTAATGTACCTATGAATAGTCTCCATAACTCTGGATCTACCGATATCCTCAACCTCCATACCGAATGTAACGAACAAGTTCATGTTGCGGTATACTTTAAAATGACGGAAAAAATACAAGTCCACCGCAATTACTGATCAACACCGGCGGAGTCGTTATACTTGTCGCCAACTCAGTTGTATTTGGCGGCCAATAACTAAGCGAGGCAGAGATACCGGCAGAACCGCCACCGAAAAACTCCTCGATAACTTTCTTCTTCAGCTCAGCCACTGTCATCCCCTCTTCTATTTGAACAACCCTAGACATTCTGTTCTTGTCGATCACGAGATCCCATTTGCCGTTTCTGCCACAACTCCACTCTCCACAAAGCAACAGACAATGCTCCTCCATCGAAACTTCCCTCAGGGAAAAAAAAAAATTTGCTTAAACATTTAACACTCCCACCTAACCGCATTTAAAGCATACTCCACATCTAATCATATATCTTTTGCTTTGCACAACTTTTTCCACGCCTGCCCATCCCACGTGTACACACAAATAACCCTAAAGTACATTCTCTATTAATTTCTAGACGCCTACAATACTGTCCATTCTGAATTTCGAGAATACAAATCCACTCATTTACCGCCAAAAATATAAAAAGAGTGCTTAAGTAAACTCGTCCATTCAACATTGCTAACAGACTCATGCCGAACGGACAGTTCCAGTGGACAATATACAACTGCTGAATTGCACGTTGGCGATTAAGCAAAGTAATACGACCATCACTCTGCCAGAAGGTTACAATGCTATATGTAATATGTTCTTGTTGATTACCCATGCTCCATGGTCACTGATAGCTACATCTAGCCAAAACAATACTCCGACTTATTAGCGTTGCCGGCGACAACGAATATAAACAAATCAAAGTCTAACAACCAACAACATCCGCCTAGAATCACCAGCCTCTTCATGCGCCATTCAAATTTGAAAGCTAAAGCCAATTACTAAAGACTACAGCTCTCTGGTGGTCAATTCCCCATAGCTCTGCCATAGACCGTCGCCAATAAAACAAACAATTTTTTACCTTCTCATTAAGGATATAACTGTCAGGGCAGAGTCCAAAATTCTGTGAAAGTGCCCCTTATTGATAAAAGTGTGTCAACTGTAACCACTTATCCATAAAGTGTGTATTTTTATAAACGTCTCTTTATTAATCACTATGGTAGCTTTTATGTAATTGCTAATGACCCAAATTTCGAATTTATTATGCTTGTTTTGATTAATTAATTTTGACTCGAGCCCCTTTGTTTTTTTTAAGCAATCAAAAACTTATTTCGCAGATTTTCTCCATCCCCGAGACTAGGCTTTCTCTGTCTCACCTTCTTCCTTTTCCCCACCGACGATTCTCTCCGAAGCTGGATCAAAATCTTCGTCCTCCATAGACTCGTCTGTCCGCAATGCATGCTCTCAAGGACAAGGTCTCACAGAAGCTCTCGAATCTCTTCGCCGATTCCCCTAGCCAATCTGCTTCTCCTCGCTATTCCCTCTCCGATTCTCCAAAGGTATTTCTTTTTTCTTCCCCAGAGTTTCGTTACGAATTATGAACCCTAGATGCTTGTTTAGGTTTGATATCCATGGGTGATTGTTATCACCCATTTTCCTGAGATTGGTCCTTCGATTTGAATCTCGTTTGTTCTCCAATGGAATCAATTTTGGGTTTCTAACCTAAAAAATGTCGTGACATTCATTTGCAATTGATTTGTCACATTAAAGCTTTTGAATATTCGACTAAATTCGAATATAGGAAAATCGTTTTCTTCGTGTTTCCCCTTTGAATCTCGTTTGTTCTCCAATTGGTCAATATTGGGTGAGAAATCATGAAGATCGTGACCTTCATTTTCGATTGATCTGTGACATTGAAGCTTTTGAATGTGTAGGCCAGGCTAGTTTCAAGCTCAGGGAAATCGTTTTCTTCGTATTTCTCTTTTGGTGTTCTTCAATCTGGAAACGAGAATCAGGATTCTGAATCATGCCCTCCTCCTCTTCCCATTAGAACTGATAGCTACGAGTCTGTTGAGAATTACAAACATGGAAACGGGAAAAATCAAGCTGCGTCGGCAATGGCAATGACAATGATCTCGAATGGCAAAGAATCAAATAAGGACGGTTCTGCGAAAGCAGAAACCGGTAACGAGCACTTTGAAGGGACGAAGCAGATGGAGGAATTAACTGAAAGCTCTGCTTTTATCTCAGCTAACTTGTGTGAGTTCTTGTACGCGTGTCTTCCAAACATCGTGAGAGGATGCAAATGGATCTTGTTATATAGGTAAGAAAGAAAGGTTTTGTTTCTTCTCTTATTTGGAGATTCTAAACTTCTTGTTTTGTTTTGGTATTAACTTTTAATCCGGATGAAGGGCAGTACGTTGAAACATGGCATATCACTTCGTACGCTTATCCGCAGAAGCGCAGAGCTTCCCGGTCCTTGTTTACTGGTTTGTTTGCGGATCTCTTCGTTCTTTGATACATTTTGAGAAAGTTAAATGGTATTCATCTTAAGGGTATGGTACAGGTTGCTGGAGACAAGCAGGGTGCGGTTTTTGGCGCTCTGCTCGAATGTCCATTGAGACCTACTCCTAAGAGGAAATATCAGGTAATAATATCCACTCTCATTATGGCCTCCATTGGTTAGTATTCTAATCAGTATAACATGGAAACGCAAACGCAAAGAAACAACTCAGGGGCTGTTTTGATTCCCCAGTGCTGATTCTCTCACATGTTGTTTTGATGATAGGGTACAAGCCAGACATTCATGTTCACAACTATTTATGGTCAACCACGCATATTTAGACCTACCGGTAACCATTTGGACTCTCTCTTTTTATGTTTTTCTGGTCTTTTTTCTTTTCCTGCTCGAGCAATCGATCGTATAGGTCAAGGAAGAATATATAGAGAATTGAAGAGTGAAATTTCAGAAGAATGCTCAAATCTCTCCAAAAACAGTTCTTAAGAATATTGGTTCCAACTGGTTCTTGTTAGCAAACTAGATCCACACTGTTTTTGTGTAGTTGAGTTGTTGCAATAAACCATCTCTTAAGGAGATGATTATGTAAGGTTTTATGTATTTGAGTTGTTGCTATAAAGATCTAGTGGAAGAAGGTAAAGAGATGATGGAAGGGGCAAGTAACTTGTCCAGGATACATTGCAGAGAGACGATAGAGATGTTTCATTGTGAACTAGGCCCTAGAAACATAATTCAAGACCTCTCTTATGAATATGTGAGCAGGTGCTAACCGATATTACTGGATGTGTATGAATGAGTTTTTGGCGTTTGGAGGCGGAGGAAACTTTGCTCTATGTTTGGACGAAGATTTGTAAGGCACACACAATCTTGCTCCATCTCATTTTGAATATTTCCCCCTTTTGATCATTTTGATGAAACAAGGTTGAAGGCAACAAGTGGACCTTCAGAGACATTTGGGAACGAATGCTTAGCGAGCAGCACGGAGTTTGAGTTAAAGAATGTTGAGGTAAAGCTACCAAGTTTCCACATTAAACAATCTCACTTCGATCTTGAAGTAATGAATACAAAGCTCGTGTTGTTTAAATTTGCAGCTCTGGGGATTTGCACATGCGTCTCAATACTTCTCCTCCTGATCTTGAAGATCTTGAAGATACCCTTAAAAGAAAGCTTACCGTTCTTTTGAATCTATTGATTGTTTCGAAGTTATGATTAGGCTAAGACAGGTTTGAGTCTTTAAACTGTTGAAAGAAAGACAATATTACGTGATTGTGTATCTGTGTTTACTAAGAATATTAATTCACCTAAGAAGCTTTAATATTGTAACTCTACTTGTTGTTAGTTATATATATATATATATATATATATTATATCAGATTCATCTGGCTTTTTAAGGCTTAGTATCAGAATGGCACACACAAGTTTCGGAATCAACTTTCAGAATGAGAATGGCAGTTTCTGTTTTAAAGATTATATAGGTTTTGGACAAAATAACATCTAGACAAGAACAGCAAGAGGAGTGTATACAGACACCGGAGTAGATGAATGTAAGATCAAGCGAGGAAGCCAAGCCTCTCTCCATTCTTCTTAGCAAGCCTAATCAATCCTTGTCTCTGTTTTGCATCAGCTCCTATAGATTTACAGAACTCTGTAATCACCTGAAGATAACAACCCATTTTCCAAAAATTCAGCATTACTTTGACTAATTCAAGATCTAATTTTTAAAGAATGATGATTGATTTCAAGAACAAAAACCTGAGAATGTAAAGCAATGGCTTTGCCTCTAAGCTGATTAAACCTCTTCTTGCCTACTATGTTGCGAGTGACAACAACGAGAGGGGCGAATAAGCCTTTGCCTTCGTTGACATTCTTCATCATCGGTTGTACTCTGATGAGTTTTCTTGAGACTCGAGCTTGTTGCGCTGGCGCGGTTGTTTTGGCGAGCATGTTGTGGTAATGCTCGCCGGAGATTGGATTTCCCCAACCTCCATAAAAGGAAGTTCCGAGTACAGCTTGATTTGCAGAAAGTGAAGCAGCAGCCATAGGAATCGGCTTTGGCTTCTTGGCTTCTCTCTCTGATTGATTTGATGCTAATGGTAGAGAGAAGGAGAAATTGAGTGTTTGTGGTTTGAACATTTTGGTGTGGACGAGGTTTGGGTGGTGTTGTGGGTTGGATGGAGAAACGAGAGCCACAAATATGATTCTTAAGTTTTAATTTTTTTTGTTTACTCGCTGAATCAAGTTTTTCTTCATCACTCTTTCTCCACCGTCCGATCATAGTATGCACGTTATATCTGTAATAATAATGCGAATAAATACGAGATACAGATGAATAAATACGAGTTACAGATGAATAAATCGTGTTTTTTTCAAAATTATTATTAATATTTTTTTTAATCCGAATTTTAATTAATAAATATCATTTATGATTACATATCTTCATTATAATTGTTGGACCGCAAATTATATTGCAGCTCATTAAACTAAATATGTGAGAAAGTGGGAATTTGAAAAGCATTCACTACTAAAAAACTGCTAATTAGCATCAGTTTTATAACATCATTTTTAAAAGTGATGTTATACTAAAAATCTATTAGGAAAATTAGCATCAATCATTGAAAATGATAATAAAACATAAAAAGTTGCATCACTTCTTTATAAATGATATTAAACCCAAATATTTAGCATCACTTTTTTATAAATGAAATTAAACCCAAATATCTAGTATCACTTATTTGTAAATGATGCTAAAAGCTAAATTTAAACCAAGTTTTTAATATTTTTAGTTATCGTTAACCAAAGCTAAAGTGATATTTGCTAAATTAATTATACGTAACACAAAAGTTTATTAGAAAAAAAAATCTAGGTAGAGTTCAGCTTCACTTCAATCGATCGTTCAACAATCTCTGCGTCTGGATTTCTATCGATTTGTTTCTCTCTGATCAAGGATCGTTTCTCTCCGACCAAGGATCTCCATTCGTTTCTCTCCGATCAGGGATCTCCGTTCGTTTCACTCCCTCAGATCGTGTTTCATCTTCATGGTTAGTGATAACTTCACGATATGTGTTTTTCTTGATTTGTTTCTCTCTGATCAATGATCGTTTTTCTCTGATCAAGGATCTCCATTTGTTCCTCTCCGATCAAGGATCTCCGTTCGTTTCACTCCCTCCAATTGTCTCTTATCTTCACGGTTAGTGATAACTTCTCTCCAATGTTTCTCGTTTGATTTTATTTGATATGTGATTCTTAGTTGTGTGTGATTGTTCACTGATTGTTTTTGTTTTGCAAATCACGTCGGGTTGGAATTGCTGATTCTTAGTCGTGTGTGATTGTTCTCTGATTGTTTTTGTTTTGGAAATCACTTCGGATTGGAATTGCTGATTCTTAGTTGTGTTGCTGATTGTTCTCGGATTGGAATTGCTGATACACATGGAAATCGAGAGAATTAGTTTACATTTGCAAGTACTTTTGTTTTGTAGATAGTTCATTCTTAATTTTTTTTGTTTGTGTGTGAAGAAGATGAGCCATTCTTAGATTGGATTTGGTAAATAGTTCATTCTTAGATTTGATTTGGTATTATACTAGATTAGTTTGTTTGCTTAAGGAATCACGTATTAACATTTTTTAAGCTTGAAATCTTGTTTGTGTTACTTATAATGATTTAGGTTGATATGGATAAATCTTGGATTAGCAAACCACGTTTATCGCAAGAGTACATCAATGGGGTTGAAGGGTTCTTAGACTTTGCGTTTTCTAATAGTGATGCAACCATGTTAAAATATTCCTGTTCTCGGTGTTCTTTAGTAAAGTATAAATATAGAGAGGATATTAGGGGAGATTTGATGTATCATGGGTTTATTCCTACATATACAAACTGACATTTTCATGGTGAACAGTTCAATATCATAGAGACCTCGATCTCTATAGAATCTCAAATAGATAATAGTTTAAATGAAGGTTCAACAATGAATCTAATAGATAATAGTTTGAATGAAGATTCAACAATGAATCTACTAGATGATGTCTTCCCAAAATGTGGAAGACATTTTAATGAGAGAGCAGGTTCTTCTAATCAACCATTGAATGAAGAAGAAGCTGCTGATCAAGCACCTAATTCTGATGAAAGAAGAGCATTTGTAGCATTACTAGGAGATGCTAATGAAGAACTTTATAAGGGGTGTACTTCATTCTCAAAGTTATCATTTATGCTGAAGTTATATCACATCAAGAGTATCACTAAGATTAGTGATAAAGGCTTATCAATGATAATTGATCTTCTAAGGGAAGCGTTTCATCATGCAAAGCTGCCTGCTTCACTTCATGACTTAAAGAAGACCATTCATAAACTTGGACTAGATTATGAGTCTATACATGCTTGTCCAAATGATTGTATGTTATTTTGGGGAGAAGATACAGAACGAGAAGTATGCAAGATTTGTAAAGCATCACGATGGAAAGGCAAAAGCACAGAAGGAGAAGGAGAAAACGAGGTGTCGAGAAAGAAAAGAAAAAAGAAAAGACAAGCTGCTAAGGTTTTGCGTTACTTTCCACTAAAGCCAAGATTGCAAAGGTTGTTTATGTCGTCTAAAACTGCAGAAAGTATGAAATGGCATGCTGTTGACGAAAAGAGAGATGGAAAGCTAAGGCACCTCATAGATGGTCAAGCGTGGAAAACATTTGATCAAAAGTTTCATACTTTTGCATCAGATTCCAGAAATGTCCGGCTTGGATTAGCCACAGATGGATTTAACCCTTATGGTGCTATGAGTACAAGTTACAGTATATGGCCAGTTCTTTTGTTTCCGTACAACCTCCCTCCTTGGATGGCAATGAAGCAGTCTTCGGCGATATTGTCAATGGTTATTCCAGGAAAACAAATGCCTGGGAATGATATCGATGTCTACTTGCAGCCTTTGATCAAAGAACTGAAAGAGTTGTGGGATGGTGGTGTGCAAAAATTTGATGCTTCAACAAAGGAAATATTTTGTATGTGTGCTGCTTTGATGTGGACGGTTAGTGATTTCCTAGGACTAGGAAATTTATCAGGATGGAATATACACACGGGTCTAGCATGTCCATCTTGTGGAAAAAAAAGAACTGTTTTATGGGGCATCGGCGCTTTCTTCAGCCAGATCATAAATTTTGGTTTGATAGGCAACATTTTGATGGAAAAGAAGACTTCAGAAATCCTCCGGTTACACCAACAGGCTCGATGATCGTGCAACAACAAGAAAGTGTTGATGTTATTTTTGGAAAAGGCTCAGATACTAGCAAAAGTAGAAGAGTAAGAAGACAGCAATGGAGAAAGAAGAGTATATTCTTTGAATTGCCATATTGGAAGCATGCTTTGTTAAGACATAACTTAGATGTTATGCATATAGAGAAAAACGTCTTTGATAATGTTATCTCCACATTACTGGATGATAAAGAAAAGTCCAAGGATAATCTGAATGCAAGAAAAGATCTAAAAGAGTTGGGTATACGTTCTGAGTTATGGCCAGATAGCAACGAAAAGTATCTTCCTGCATCTTTCAAGCTAACGATAAGTGAGAAAGATAGTTTCCTTAGTATATTAAAAAGTGCAAGGCTCCCAGATGGTTTTTCATCAAATATCTCTAGATGTATTGATCTAAGGCAACATAGAATTGTAGGACTAAAAAGCCATGATTGTCACGTGATTATGGGTCACTTGTTACCGCATATGTAACGTGTTATCTCCAAATGTGACTTCTGTTATAACAGAGTTTTGTCGTTTTTTCCGAGAGATATGCTCAAAGGTGGTGGATGTCAGTGAGTTAGTTAATCTCCAAAAACAAATCGTGCTTACTCTTTGCCATATGGAAATGTTGTTTCCTCCATCTTTCTTTACGATGATGATGCATTTGACAGTTCACTTGACTGAAGAAGTAAAGTTTGGTGGTCCTATCCAATTTCGTTGGATGTATCCTGTTTAGAGGTATGTATCCTGTTATTAGAGACAATGATATTCACCATTATACATCTAAGTTTAATCTAGTACATAAACTTGGCAGAAAAGTTTAATCAGCTTATTTGTTTTGTAGAATCCTCAGACGGTTTAAATCATATGTCAGAAATCGTGCACAACCTGAGGGATCCATATGTCAACAATATATGGCTGATGAATGTCTAACTTTTTGCTCGAGGTATCTTGCGGGATAGAGACACGTTTCAACCGTATTGGAAGAGTAAATGAGTTTCCAATGTCTACACATAATCTTGGAGCTGACTCACAAATTCCTATAGTCTTTCCATCCCTAGGGGGATGTAATGGTGCTAGTCAGTATGCGACACTAAGTCCCATGGAGAAACAACAAGCGCATCGTTATATCTTGATCAACTGCCCATTTCTTGATGGATTACGACAGTAAAAATTCTTTAACCATTGAGCTTGAATGAATCCAATTATTTTATTTGAATATACTAAACTAGTTTTTTCCTTAAATTTTAGGAAGTTTAAAGATGAGTTACGTAGAACAAATACTCGTGGTAGGAGACGGCGTTATACTTTAGATGTAGACAGGGAACTTCATCTTCGTTTTGACAAATGGCTTAGACAGATTATAGAAAAAGATGAGATTGATGGTATCAATGATGATATTCGAATTATTGCTAAAGGTCCCTCTGATAAAGTTTTAAAGTTCTCATCATATAGCGTGAATGGTTATAAGTTTAGAACTTTATAAAGGGATACTGATTTAAAAACTCAGAATTGTGGAGTTTATATATCTGCTGAGACTATGAGCTATGCATCTTGTCGTGATAATAATCCAAGGGCTGGTAATGTTCCCTACTATGGTAAGTTGGTGGACATTCTCCAACTTAATTATTACGAGAAATTCAGAGTAATGTTATTTAAGTGCAAATGGGCAGATACACGTGACAATCGTGGATACATAAGAGATGGTCTTGGTCATAACATGGTAAATTTTTCACGTATAATACATAGTGGAGAAAGTGAGGAAGATGAACCATTCGTGTTAGCCAGTCATGAAAGAATGGTTTATTATGTTGAAGATCCAAGTGAGTGTGGCTGGAATGTAGGAGTTCATGTCCAACCTAGAGATTTATATGATATGGGTGATTGTAATTCATCAGATGGTCCAACTGAAGAAGTTGACATCAGTGATTCTCTTGTCAGCAATAGATTAGTTCTTTCTGATGACATACCTAACTATCAGCTTGTTAGAGATAATATGATTTGTGATTTGGATGACTTGTGATTTGGATGTTAATGTCAACAGCTAACTAATTTCTACGTTTATTATGACTCTGTTTTAACATATAAAGAACTCTCACGTTTTACAGTATAACTATGTTCTTGCTGCAGATGGATGGTATTGATTCTCATGCCGAGGAAACACAAGATGTGGAGGTGAATCAAACTGAATCTCAACGGATATTTACACAAGGACGAGAGCGAGGAAAGTGGGTGGTAAATGTTATCGGTAAGTAAAACAGTATAGTAAAACAAAGATGGTATAAAACAAGAATTCATGTTGTTGTATTTTTCTTGCAAGATATAAATGGAAATGTAACGGAGGAACGGCTAACTGTGAAAGATGTATGGGGAATGGAGAAACGCAGAATTATTCTTGAGTTTGGTCCACATAATCAACCTGAAAGAGGAAGTGGTGGTATATTTGGTACATGGCTTGGCATGTTAAGTACTGATTTGAACAAGTTTCCGATAAATTACGATGATTGGAGGAATGTTCTGCAATGGCGAAAGGATGACGCTTGGGACTACATTAAGGTATGTTGAGTATCACTTCTAATTGTTTATGTTTGACTGTAAATTATTAGTCTCACTTATAATTATTTTTGTTTTAACTGTAAATGCAGACTAAGTTTTGTTTTGATAGTTCAAATAAAAGTTATAAGGACTTTGTGATGAAAAGCTTGAGTGTGAAGTGCAAAGGTCTAAAAACTCGTCTTTGGGATCATCTGGGACGTAACACTCCTGAAGAAACTCTACAGCTTCGCCCAGATTTTATACCAAAAGAACAATGGCAAGATTTTGTGTATATGCAGTTTAGTGAGAAGACTAAGGTAATACAAAACATATCTTACATTTTGTTCTGTTCTATTAAGTTGTTCTGTTTGATTGCTAATAATTTTACATATGTGAGTTTTAGAATTTAAGAGAGCAAAACAAGATAAGAAGAAGCCATTACAAGACACCACACACTTTAGGAAAAAAAGCATTTCTCGAGTTTCTAAAGAAATTGTAAGTTTAATCAATTATAATTTATCAATTATCCAAGTTGAATAAACGTTTAAACTTCATTTTATTTTGTAATACTTTTCCAGTTTCTTAAGACGGGTAAACGTCCAAGTCGTGCAGAAATTTTTGTAAACTCACGCCAAAAAGCTAATGGGAGCTTTGTTAGTAAAGAAGCTCAAGATTTATCGGTTAGTATTATTTGAAACTCCTTTAGCTGAAACTAAAGAATCTAGTTTTTGAGAAATCTGATATATTGGTTTCTCTTGTTTCCTTGCTGATATTAGTCTTTGAGAAATCTTAGATGTTGAGTTTGTGCGATTGCTTTGGTTCTCTTGTTTCCTTGATGATATTAGTCTTTGAGAAATATGAGATGTTCAGTTTGTATGATTGCTTGCTTTGGTTCTGTTGTTTCGTTGATGATATTAGTCTTTGAGAAATCTGAGATATTGAGTTTGTGTGATTGCTTGCTTTGGTTCTCTTGTTTCGTTGATGATCTTACACTTTGAGAAATCTGAGATGTTGAGTTTGTGTGATTGCTTATCTTTCAGGAAAAATTAACAGAGAAGATGGCTCACACTCAAGGAAAAATTAACACATCAGATGAATTTTCTCAAGTATTTGGCTCTGAACGTCCAGGTCGTGTGCGTTGTGTTGGTCTTGGTCCGACTCCTTCCACATTCTTTAAGAATCGCACATCCTATGAAGCAGAAGTAATTGATTTGAGGAATACAGTTCATGATTTACAAAACAAATTGGAGAAAATGAATGATTTAGAATACAAATATGAGAAGATGAATGATCTTCTTAATAGTCTTCTTAGCTCTAATTGCAACTGGAGAAGGTAAAGTACTTCTTAATAGTCTTCTTCCTTATATGTGTTTTCTTATATCTAAACTAATATATCTCTTGTTTATGCTTGTGCAGGAAGGAAGTTTAGTGAATACAAATGGTTCGATGGAAAGAAGTAAAGACGAAGAAAGAAAACAGGATGCTGATTATTTATATAAAATTATGTTTTACTTTGCCAATATATGTATTCAGATATTTCTTCAATGATTTTCTTTATTTATGCTCAAATAATATTTTTCTATGATTTTTTTTTGTAGTTTTTTACATTTTAGCATCATTTATGACAATTGATATGAATCTTATTTTTAGCATCACTTATGAAATGATACTATAATAATAATTAGCAACATAAAAAGAAATGACTCAAGTATAAATTAAATAATGCTAAAATATAATTATAGCATCATTAGTAAAAATGATGCAAAATAAATTTAGTATCATTGAATTTGGCGTCATTTTTAAGAGCGATGCTATAATTCTTGCATCATTTTTAAAATGATGATAACTCTAAAAATAAATGATATTAAACACAATGATTTTTGTAGTGATTAAATATTTTGCATCTACTAATAAAATCATAACTAGGGTTTGGACCTGCCCCATGCGCAGGTTATATCTTTTTATTCAATCATTTAAGATTATAGAGTAAAGGTAAAAGATAAAATAATGAAACAAAATGTTTTTTTTTTGCTTTTGAATTTTAAGCACATATTCTTTACACATAAAATAACGAACAGTACCATCAAAAAAAAGGCAAACGTCTAACCTAATAAACTACATTTCAATATTTCAAAATTACAAATTAAATAACAATCTAAATTAATTAATTAATATTTTGAAACCCAAGTTAACAAAATAACACTTTCTCTTATTTTATCGATTCAGGTTTTAGTAAGAGACGAACTGTGTAAGTTAAATATGTAGAGCACTTTCTTCTTCAAGAAGCCTGGTTATCGATTGTAATCAAAATCTTGATCGGTTCACCCAACATACAAGAGAATTGGCTATCGCCAAATCGGTTAAGACAATCTTCTGGTTCTTAGCTAGAATCGAACGCAGCATTCCTTTCCTCCGTGGTCGGCTCAAAATGAGCTACGTAGCTCACGTCTGCTCCAAAACCCTAAGCTCTCATGAAACAGTGCAAACCTATCACAACCAGTGCAGTCCAAATCAACAATCTTAGTCAGCAACATTTTTACAATATATATGGACCTTCTCAACCAAATTCTAAATGTATATGGTTTTGCGAACATTTTTACAATATGAATATACTCTTCCATGCACTCTGAAAATACTCGGTAAATAATATTTTTCTGTGTGCAAATAATAAAAAAGTAAGGAATGAGAGAGGTGTAATGATCACCATATGTTATAGGGTTATAGCTAGTGCAAACATTTTATCGGTATAAAGTTCAAGAACTTTGGGTTTTTTTCTGTGTGCAAATAATAAAAAAGTAAGGAATGAGAGAGGTGTAATGATCACCATATGTTATAGGGTTATAGCTAGTGCAAACATTTTATCGGTATAAAGTTCAAGAACTTTGGGTGCTACGCCTCATAAATCATCTAACAATCAAAATTACCATATTGTTTGTAAAGACACAGATCCATCAGTCTTAACTCCATACCAAAACGGAAACATGCCTTTAACTGGCTAAAGATCTTAGTAGAAGAAAACACCAGATAGGCTCCTTCAGTTTTCTAGAAACGTTCTGCAAATATAAGACAAATATATTAAAACCAACAAAATATTCATAAAGTTAAGAATTATAAATAAAAATGAATTTGACAATTTGAGTCTTGTCAAAGAAACTCACATGGCATTGTTTTAATGACTCTCGAAACAGAGCTCCAATGATTTAAGAGAAATGTCTTAACTCTCCTGAAGACTTTATTCGTAGCCTTTGGAGACATTGCTTCACTGTTCCATTTCTTCCTAAAATGATTTGCTTTAGTCGTCTGGCCGCGTCAAGATTTTGGTCTCCGAGACCTTGGTGAGAAATAACACATCCTCTCCATGCTTGTTGTCTCTAAATAAGTCGGAGATCCAACTTTCTGTAAAGATCAAACCTTTTCTTAAATTATAGTCAATTACCTCTGTTCCAAAGAGGACACCAACAACACGACCATCGTACAATAGTAATCAAGACCAATGCACGACAAACAAAACTCAGTAAAAATTCAAAACGAAAATTATTGTAAGATGCACACCTATTATAGCAGCCATCAAAACATAAATATTGTGTCACCTATTATAGCAGCCATCACCTATTAAATATTCTATACGTATCTATAGGTGGTAAATATATACAGCACACAAGATTTTGTTATTATAATTTTGCATACTGAAAATATATGAAAAAATATGTGTATGTATTCCATATGAATATAATATTATAACATATATATATATATATAAATATGTGTATTAATATGTAAAGTTACAGTCGTCTAAGACAGAGCTATAATAAATTTAATATATATAATATAATATTATCTATAGTATTATAATATATATATATATATATTAAAATCATCACGTTCAGCCCAAAATTCATCTACTATTATCCATATAGGTGAATAATAATATCAGACCATTCGTAATGCATCTGGCGAATCACAAAATTTTGTAATACACTAAATTTTGTCAAGAATTTATTTTTTTATTAATGAAAATATCACAAAAAATTCTTTTTGTCATGTCATAAACCACATGTGTTAGTAAATATCATGTCACAATTACATCATCATTACACATCATCATTTCCATGTCACATTTAATTAAGATAGAAAAAGTATTTTAACCAATTAAATTAAAACAAATCAACATTTTTTATTAAAACACATTCTCAATTATGATTTCTGTGTTTTTGGAAGAGCATTTAGTTTTCTTCCTATTAATAAGGATTTTCTAAAATATTAATCATGTTTGATGATTGTTAAGATACAACACAATATCCATACTAGTAAAAGAGTACCACTTCAATGTTTAAACACATCTCATGTGTTATATTACATGAAATACCATTGCATTTTAACATTTTTCATAGAATTTCATTAATGGTAGTTTAGTCATTTGTTAATACAACCAATTAATATTCATTTTCTTTTTTCTTTATTTAATTCTTATATTCCTATTACCAAACACATTAATTTTCAAATATTTTTTAGATTAGTTTAACTCCAATTACCAAACACATTTAAATAATTTCAAATTTTCCATCCATACTATTAATTCAGGTTCACTTCAATGTTTAAACACAATTTATGTGTTATATTACATACAATGCCATTACATTTTAAACTTTTCCTTAGATTTTTATTAAGGGTACTTTAGTCAAAGATTTTTAGACATAATTCGAATTATTCTGTTTATACTAAGCCTAATTTATATCGATATAGCAATACTAATTTACTAACCTTCTACTCAATCATCCATACTAAACCATATGAATAATCTATCTATTAAAAAAATATCTATGGGTCATGAAAACGTTTACCACTATAGCTCTATTTTATAATGGATGATATCGCCATAACCTGCATGAGAAAAATGAAAAAATGAGAGTAGATGTAGGACACTAAGTCCATTGTAATTATTCTGTTTAGCTTTTGCGAGAAACTTTTCAAGAGAGAATCATTACAGAAAATTGATGTATGCAAGGTAGCAAAATATATGGACTGTTTTGGAGAAGAAGACACAGGCATGTACATGCAATAATGTTCGGCCTAACAAAGCATAAATCAAACCGGACAAACACATTAAAATGGCAAATTCGATTACAAACCGATGGTAATCTATTTTGGTTTAATCTATTAAATTAATTACCTGTTTTTTTAATGGGTATGAGATCTTTATAATCTAAATCTTCCACCAATAATCATCGCTGTATCTACAACATAAACGAAAATGAAAATATTACAATCAGAAATCAAGGTTAAATATAAATTTAAAAGCAATATGGTAACATCTTTTTCAACTACGCAAATCTCGGCAATATATTAATATCGATCATTGCTACAGTTTCGCAAACTACTTTAAACAACCTAAGATTTTATGTGATTTTCTAATTTCTTTGACCAAATTAGAAACACATATCTAATCATTTATATTTTCCGCACAAAGTCTAAATTCTTAACAAACCTTGCAAGATTTTCGTATAAATCTAAATGACGAATGTATCTAGCTTAAAAATAAATTCATTTAATTGAAAACTAGGTAATAACCCGCACAGATAAAATAATAATTATTTATTTAATATAATATAATTTTAAAATCATATAAAAATACAGTTGATTTTATATGAATTGTTTATAACATTATGCTGTAATATTGACAAAATAATTTTTTTGTTTATTTTATGAATTTTAGAGTAATTTATTTCAAATATAAATTAGTTTAAAAATTAAATATATATGCGCAATCTCGATATAAATACGAAGTCTCTCTTTATATTTTCTATAACTCATGATTAATAACATGATCTTAAAATTCAAAAAAAATAGAGGGAGAATATTTTGATTAAATTATTAAGTATCTAATGCGTTATGATAATAATAAAAAAAATTTACTACTTCCTCTGTTTCATAATATTAGTTTTTCTTAAAAATTTTGTTTTTTTCACAATATAGTTGTTTTCATATTTTTTACTACTTCATATAAATACTATGTGACCCATTTTATTTTTCAGTTTTTCATAATTAGTTGTATTATATTTAATTTATATACTAAATGATTACTTTTTTTAAAGAAAAGTTGCTTTCTAATATTTGTGCTTTGATGCAAAACAACTTATATTTTAAAATAGAGATTATTAAAATTGTTAAAATAAAATTTGATTATAAGATTTTATAATCAGTTTTAATTTTTCTTATACGAATGTAAATGTATGTTTAGATTAATCTCCAAAAACTATAGTCATAAGAGTATTAATTTTTAAGAAAAAAAATTACTGTGAAATTTATTTTAAATATTAAATATACATAAGGATTATATAAAAATAGATTATATTTTTTCTATTATTTTTAATAAATTATCTAAAATTGTATATAACTGAGTCAATATTTATACGTTCTTAAATTTTGATTCAATAAAAATATTTTTAATATCAAAAAATTTGATAAAATTATTATATAATATCTTTACAGAAATATTTTAATTTTTTACCAAGTTATTTTGTTGTATAAATTAGAATAATAATATCTATTAAATTAAGCTTCCTGTTTTTTTTATATATTTTTATATTGATTTATGAATCATCTATCCACACATCTTTATATCAATTTTAGTTTTTTTAAAACATACTTTTATTTATTAATTATCTGAGTAATTTATATTTATTTTATGAAATTCGAATTATAACACAGAAAAATATATGTATATATATTTTACGATATGAATGATGTAATAATTTATTTTTCTATAAAAATAAGAGATAAAATATTGTATTTAAAGAAATAATTAATATGATATATTTTTGGTAAGAAATAGAAAAAAAAAATATCTTGATGAATCATCATTAATATAATTGATATAAATAATGTATAACCAAATTAATGTGAGTGGCATAACATGTAATTAATCTAGTAACATAAATCTATTTTTATAATTTTGCTAAAAATGATTCTGGTGATGACACATCAGCAAAA